TGAATATTTTGATTTTAAAATTTTGTTTGGTGAAAGAAAAATATATTTTAAAAAATAAATAAAAAGTACTTTCATGATTATATCATCCGCAATAAAAGAGCTTGCTTACCAACTTATTGCGAAGAAAATTTGAAGAATTAATTAATATGAATATTATAAATATAATGTATGTGACGGATTCTAATGTCCTAGTACTTTAATTAGAGTTATGCTAGGGGCATCAAATAAATCCCCAAATATTCTACCAAACCTCTCACATGAGTGTAGCACCCATACAAACCACATGTGTGTGGGTCCTACACCCATGTGAGAGATTTTTTTGTAGAAAATTTGGTAATTTATTTGTGGTCCATAGCATTTTCCTTTCAATTATTTAATTAAATCCTTTTCAATATTTGTAATTTTATTATTGTTCATTCTATTAAAATTCAAGAATTTGTTGAATTAGATAGTCATTTATTTTAAGTTTAATTGATTATTTTTAACCATCAAATCTCTGTTGGTTCAACCTTATTTTTGCCTTGTCTATACTCCAATAAATTCGTGCACTTGTGAGTAATTAAAATTGGGGTAAATTACACTTTGCACCCCATTCACTTTATACAAAATCTCACTTTAGTCCCTACACATTAAATTGTGACACTTAACTCCTTACACTTTTGATCAAGTGTCACATGAGCCCTTCTGTTAATAGTGAGGCTAACTGAAGTTATCATTTAGGGAGTTAAGTATCACAATTTTGATATGTAAGGACTAAAGTGGGATTTTGTGTAAAGTGCAAGGGTGCAAAGTGTAAATTATCCTCACATGTTTTTCAAGTGACTAACTTCTGTTAACAATGATGCTAGCAAAAGGGCCAAAATGACACTTGACCAAAAGTGCATGGGGTTAAGTGTCACAATTTAATATATAGGGGCCAAAGTGAAATTTGATATAAAGTGCAGGAGTGCAAAGTGTAATTTACTCTTAAAATTGATACATAAAATACACACAACTTCTCAATCACCTCTTCATACAAAAAGAAAAAACTGTTCATGCTCATGTTATAAAACTTTTAGGTTCTTTACAGACATGAACTACTACATCACTTCATAAAAAAATAAAAAATAAATAAATAAAAGAACTATCGATTCAAAATCATGGGTGGTGTATGTACATCAAAAGTATGTTAGTTTGAAGCTAATTATCATGTTAGATTAGTCTTGATCAGCTCTCTCCTCCATTGAGGATCATGAATGCTCTGGATTTGACAAAAATAAAATAAAATGAGAATATATTGGAGCTGTATGAATATGGAAACAAAGAATTTTGTTGTGGGAGGTATATAACATATGGAGCTCCTAATTTTATGAATGTTTAACTAAAATCTTTAAAAAAAAAGAAAATTCAATGTAGCGTTGGCCTCCAACAGTGCCTAGCAATTAGCAAGGAATCAATCTAGAATTCTCTACTTCTAAACTTTCATACAGATAACCCAACCTTTGTGTGAACTATATAATTGAACAAATCTTAAAAGGAATTATAGCTTGTTTTTTTTCTGACAGAGCAAAAATTCTACAATCAATGGATATGAATTTCCTTTGTTGTCCTCTACTTACTCAACAATCAAACAGACTAATTCCCAAACAAATTTAAATCCAAACTTTACTAGGATAAAAAACCCAAATTAGATTAACAAATTAAACAAAAAAATGCAAGTACCTAAAGAGCTTGCTGCTTTCAGTGATAAATTAGAGAAGCTCTCTAGGCAAATCCAAAGTGATTGGCCATTGCACATCTTCTTCGACGTGTTTTGGCACTGCAGAGGAGAAGAACGAGTAGAGAGTGAGAAAAAAACTAGGGCTAGGGAACTGGGGAAGTAAGAAGAACCAGGGAGGGTCGTTGACGATGGGCAGATTGCCGGAAACAATGAATCAAATGGATGGAGATTAAGCCAGGACAATGCAGGGAATATGGGGTAGAGACGAAATGTGGAACGAGAAAATGAAAGAGTGAGTTTTTCTTGACCGGTTATAACCGGTTGCCATTTTATTTTTGGATGGTCAAGATCCTAGATTCGAGTAATGTTAAAAATACTAAAACTTCGATTAAAATTTTTATCTCACATGAGTGAGATATTATAAAATTTTTAGAATCTCTAATAGTTTAGTCCAAATTTTTATCTAAAGGCTTAAAATCGTTTTTGTGTACGGTATGCAAATAAATACGGACTCCACAAGAAGGCTTAGCGTAGAAGCACTAACATGCAACCGGGCCAAAGCCAGACATTTTGCATGTTAGGCTATATTGCGACAGTGGCTTGGCTCCATACCTAAACCAAAAGTAAAGTGGGAACACTTGTATAACTGATGGGAACAAGAAAAATGGAAAATAAATCTCCTGTGCTCGATTGTTGGAGCCATAGCAGTTCTCAATTAATTGTTAAACATCTTTTGTGTTTGGCTTATGTGTAAGACTAAATTAATTATTTAGTTATTATGTTGATCCACATAATGGGTCTGTTTGGTGCAGCTTAAAAGCTGCTTATTTCAGCTTTCAGCTTAATTTAAGTTATTTTGATGTGTTTGGTTTAGCTTATAGCTTATAGCTCATACCTTTTTGGAAGTCAGAAATCAGCTTATTCTTTGAGTGGGGCAGGATATGCTTAATTTATAAGTTAGAAATTAGCTTATGTTCATAGTTATAAGTTATAAGCTGCTTAGCCATAAGCTATAAGCACTTTCCACAGCTCTACCAAACATAGTAATATAAATTAGACATTTGGCAGATTATGATTCAATATTTTTTATTACAATTAATTGGTAAATTAAGAAGAGTGTTTTTTAAGTATCCTACTTTGATGGGAAAGTAAAATCATTATTGAATGAGGAAACTGGTAATCTCTTTACCTATAAAAAGACATTCAAACTACCATCAAATTATTCTAAATATAGTGTATTCTAAAGAGGGTCAAAAGAAAGAAACATTTTTTTCACTAATATTAAGATATTAGGTTTATGTTCAATCAATTATGAATCACTCGAAGGTTTCACATAACTGATTCGGGTATATTATTTATTTTTCACATTATGTTATTAATTATGAAAATCATAATAATTCACAATTTTAGATTATGAAAGTTATTATATGAATAACACCATAAAATTATTTACATTATATTGAATGCTTTCAACATGGATTTGCACTAGTTGAGAACTTGAGAGAATGAAATTGAACAAATGAACTACTTTTATTCTGTAGTCCCTTACATGAACCCCAATTTTTCTTAGCCAAATGCAAAATTGTTTGATTATTTATGTCCCCTAAACAAACATGTATTATTAATTGAATAATACTATAGGTAATAATTAGTGTACCAATTGATGATGTCGCATAATTTAAGAAATTTTGGTATTTATAATTTGTATAATGAGTGGTATCAATAATAATGTCATAATTAATGTTGGTACATTAATTAGTACACTAATTAGTACATGTAGTACCATTACTATTATTTAAGCTATGATTCACTCAACTACGCCATGAATATTTCACCATTGATTCAACTAGTACGCTTCAAGATTGTTAAGATCACGATCCGATCGTATGATCTAATATACGTAAATCGATCCAACCCGCATTTTCGATTGCACTTATAAGATTGGCACATGATCGTTATGGGATCATAGAAGATTTTTACGGGATCACGACTCTAGCCTATTCTGTTTAAGATGGTATTTACTATTTTGCTAGTTTTAAAGTCAAAAAACGTCTTCTGAGGCGTCCATTTGGCAATTCAATCTTCTAAAAAATATATATATAAAAAAAAAGCATCTTATATCAAAAATCAAAGATTCTTTTTGTCTTTACTTTATGCACATCTTTTCATAAAAAGTAAAAAAATATTCCAAGCATACTAATATTTTTTACCTTATATTTTGGAAAAAAAAATAAAAAATTACTAAAATGTATCTTTCCAAACAAGGAAGTTGAGAAAAAAAAATTGGAGTTTGTTTGGTTTGTATTTCAAGATACAATTTTTGAGAAAAATTTTCAGAATTTTGTTGGTTCAAATTTTTTGAAAAAAAATTTCAAAATCACTTACTCTCTTCTGCACATCAATCAATCACTTTTTCTCTCTCATCTGTTTTCTCTCATTCTCAATCACTTTGGGTGTGTTTGGTTGGTATTTTAAGATAATTTTAAAAATAAAAAAAAATTTGGGGAGAGAGTTTAAAATTTTTTTAGTTTGTTTGATTGTATATTTTGAAAATAGTTTTAGAGTTTGGAATGATTTTATATTTTATTGTAGTTGAGTAGATGTGTTTGAAAAAAATTGATTGATAAGGAGAGATGAAAGAGAAAAAGTGATTGATTGATGAGTAGGAGAGAGAAAGTAATTTTGTATTTTTTTTTTCAAAAAATTTGAACCAAATAAAATTTAAAAAACTTTTCTCAAAAATTATATTTTCAGATACAAACCAATCAAATAATTCAAAACTTCCAAATTCTAAAACTATTTCCAAAATATAAAACCAAACAAACTTAAAAAATAAATAAATAAATAAATAAAATCAAATAAAATCAAATAAAATCTCAACCCTCTACCCAAATTTTTTTAAAGAATTTATCACAAGACAGAGACCAAACACACCCTTACTCTCTCCAAGCTTAAGAGCGCATTCCATTAGGGTTATTGTAGTTGAGTAGATGTGTGTGAAAAAAATTGATTGATAAGGAGAGATGAGAGAGAAAAAGTGATTGATTGATGAGTAGGAGAGAGAAAGTAATTTTGTATTTTTTTTTCAAAAAATTTGAACCAAATAAAATTTAAAAAACTTTTCTCAAAAATTATATTTTCAGATACAAACAAATAATTCAAAACTTCCAAATTCTAAAACTATTTCCAAAATATAAAACCAAACAAACTTAAAAAATAAATAAATAAATAAATAAAATCAAATAAAATCAAATAAAATCTCAACCCTCTACCCAAATTTTTTTAAAGAATTTATCACAAGACAGAGACCAAACACACCCTTACTCTCTCCAAGCTTAAGAGCGCATTCCATTAGGCAAAACAAATCAAGCTTAAGAGCGCATTCCATTAGGGAAAAACAAATTGGGGAAACAGAGATTGGACCTTAACATTCAGATTTGCTGGAACTGGAACGAGGTACTCTTCGTCTTCTTCTCTCTATTCGAATTCGATTCTGCATTTTTTTCTTCTTCCGACTTCTTTTTTCCTCCTCGTCCTGTTATCTCTGTTCGACTGTGTTCTATGTTCTTTTTTGTTTTGCTTTGTTTTTGTTTTTGTTTTTGTTTTTGTGTTTTTTTAACTTTTTCTTTTTCTTCCTCCTCTTCTTCATTTTTTCCGCTTCCCTCTTATGTGATTGACTGTGTACTGTTCTTAGTTATTTATTTTTTATTTTTATTTTTTCCTTCTCTACTACTTTAGTTCTTTTTCCCTAAACTTGTGCTGAAAAAATAGTTCTTTTAACCAAAAAAAAAATTCAGCACAACTTGATATAAAAACAGTAATTTTAACCCCCTTTTTTTTCTTTTTTTTTTTTTGAGTTGGATGACACCGTGGGTGATGATGAGGATTGTGGTGATGACATTAATGTTGATTGCGGCAATGATGATATTTTCAGCGACAATGATGATTTATTTTAGTCTTTTACTTGTTCTTCCCTTGTTTAGTTCGTCTTCTTTTCATTAAGAAACAATGAGAACCTTGTGCAAGTGTTGGTATTTTCTTTTATTATGTTTTTAATGTTTGAATGATAGGTTGAATTGATATATTTCTTTATTAAGAAAAGATCTAGCATAATAATTTAAATTCCTTATAAGTGAGAATGCAAGGATTTGAACCTTGATCTACTCATACTAAGCTCAAGTAATTATGAAGCAAGTATGAGAGCTCTACCATTTGAGCTACATTCCCATGTTTTTTGGGGTCATTCTATATACATTTTGATAGTATTACATATAAAAATTATTATTATTATTATTATTATTATTATCCTCAATCCGATCCGGCAGACCCCCAAAACAATTCTATGTAGGATCCCAATCTTAACAACCTTACACTTCTCTTATAAGAACTATTTCATCTTTTGATGGATTGTTCTGTTGTCAAAATATGGATAGCTATGCTTAATCAAATATGAGATTCTTTTATTAGATCTATTTCATCTTCTGGTTTCTTGTTCATGTTGTCGACTATGAAAATGTGTGCTTAATCACATGATTATCTAAATCCAGTGATATTTATAACCAAAAAAACAAAAAAAAGAAGAGGATTATCTAAATCCAGTGATTCAAATTCACAGGTAGCTAGTATAATTTTGTCATTTGCATTTTCACATTAGACACATTATTTTGTAGTGTTTGTGTATATCTATGCATTCATCTATGTCACAAGGCTTTTTTTTCTTGTTAAGTGAGAATTTTGTAGAAAATTTTAGTACATTGCCGCAACATAATGAAACTAAGAAGCTTTAATGTGAGCATCATGTATAGAGCTCTACGTCCAAGTTCTATTTGAAGAAGCTTACATTATGTTACTGTACTGAAGTGACTTATAAATGTTTCATAAATCTTATTGTGATGCTTTTATCTTCAATTCTTTCCATCTTGCTATCATGAAATTAGTATGTTTTATTTGGTGAGCTTGATTGGTATTTCTACTTCTTCAGATACGATGGTCGCTCAATGGTTGACATGGATTTCACATCTTTGGGTTCAACTAGTCTGTTCAGATACTCTTCATAAGGAGGGGTTTATTGGACTTCTTCCCGATGAAATCATCATTGATATCCTCAGTAGACTCCCAACTGATAGTGTTTTAGAATGTCGAAGGGTGTGTAAGAAGTGGTTGGCACTAACTTCAATACCATATTTTGCTTCTAAAAGAGCTGCAAAACGAGATGATGTATGTGTGTTCTACCATCCACTGACAATGGAATCTCGAGTTCTTCAAGTGCTCCAAAAAGCTAATTGTTTTCAATATAACATACTTACCATTGGGGATAAGTTGTGGAGAAAACTTGATTTGGTCTCTTACCGGCCAAAGTGTTTTGCAACCCCAACAATTGTAAAAAGAGATTTGTGCTGGATGGTTATACACACATATGAAAAATGAATATGTTCCTCCTTGCAGCAACTCCATCATGATGTTGAACATAGACACTGAAGAATTATGTTCTATGCCTCATCCAGGAAAGGAATGTCACTCACAACAAATGCATGAAAAGATGCGGCTCTTAAAGTTGGGAGTGAAATTATGTTTTGGTTATTTGGATGCAAGATTAATTGATATATGGCAATTGCTCCCATTCTTCACTTTTTCTGCTTCCCTCTTATGTGATTGACTGTGTACTGTTTTTTTTTTTTTTCCTTCTCTACTACTTTAGTTCTTTTTCCCTAAACTTGTGCTGAAAAAATAGTTCTTTTAACCAAAAAAAATTCAGCACAACTTGATACAAAAACAGTAATTTTAACCCAATTATTATTTTTTTATTTTTTTTTTGAGTTGGATGACACCGTGGGTGATGATGATGATTGTGGTGATGACATTAATGTTGATTGCGGCAATGATGATATTTTCAGCGACAATGATGATTTATTTTAGTCTTTTACTTGTTCTTCCCTTGTTTAGTTCGTCTTCTTTTCATTAAGAAACAATGAGAACGCTGTGCAAGTGCTGGTATTTTCTTTTATTATGTTTTTTAATGTTTGAATGATACGTTGAATTGATATATTATTAAGAAAAGATCTAGAATGATAATTTAAATCCCTTATAAGTGAGAATGCAAGGATTTGAACCTTGATCTACTCATACTAAACTTCAGTAATTATGAAGCAAGTATGAGAGCTCTACCATTTGAGCTACACTCCCATGTTTTTTTGGGTCATTCTATATACATTTTGTGGTACCGGCCAGA